CCACCCCTCCCCCCCCCCCCCCCCCCCCCCACCCTCCCCTCCCCTACTGCTATAAGGTTTGATCTGTGGAGTACTGAATAAATCACCCGCCGATTATGTAAATACATTATGATTAGAAGCGATACTATTAAGTAGTTTACTACCAAAAGCTTTAAAGCAGTATGCTTGCGATGAAATATCATTTCCAATAGCTGCTCACCTCTGGGCCTCCGGCCAATTCGTTTATTTTACTTTTAGATCCACATCGGTAGTTGCTTTCAGGGGGAACTTAGACCTTTCCTTCTGCTTCTCTGATATATTCTTGTTAGGTTAGCTTGATGTAATAAAGATAATGTAAGGTTCATCTCAAAGCTGCAGACTACACAGGTAGGATGTATGGTGATTGAATCTTGGTAAACTTATCGAACGAGGAGGAGAGTGTTAAAACGGACCTGGAAAGCACGTATTTTCCTCAGGTCAAAGTGTGGCACTATTTCTAATTCCTACAGTAAACCGATAATTTCTACAATTAATTTATTAACCAAATTAATCCCGTTATTTCCACAAAGTAGCGTGATCGCACCAATAATTGAACAATTAATATTCTTTGCATTTTTGGCCATTTTTCAGCCTTTTTTCGTAAAGGGGCACTTGATTGTATTTTGGAGGCGCGTTATATCGATTAGAATCTTCTTCTTTCCCCGGGTCTATATTTTGAGGAGACCTTCCAATTCTGTTTCAACATATTTTGGCCCCCACATTGATAACTTTTCTATTATTGCTTTTTGTACGCTTGTGCAAAGAAGGGCCTTTCTAAATATTAACACACTCTTACCTAAGTTTCTCTTGGGGTACAATTGGGAAGATTGGGGTTATGGTTTACTAACATTTGTAAATCCTTTCGAGGGGAAAATTAAGTGGGGGGGGGGAGGGGGGGGGGGGAGGAGGCACCCGGCAAACCACTCCAATAAGAGTTTTGCATTCAATCACCATATTGGTTATCCACATAACTGAATTGGCACTGATGAGTCTCAGTATTGTGGCCTCTGAGAGCAGATGTGGACGTTTTTTACTGAAACATTGACACAAACCGACGGTTTGACACATTTCACTCGCTCGTGAGCAAAATTTATCATTGAGAGCTATAAATGTTGTGGGCATAAATCGGGCGACTTACGTAGTGCCATTTTTCGTCCTTTTGAAAGTGACTAGACTTGTCAGTAGCTCTTTCATAGACAGTAGGTCAGTTTTTCTCCAGTTGGCTTATCCGTTCTAAATTTAGCATACTTTATTGGTGGTTTGTGTACACTTTCCATTTTCCCACACTTTGAAATGGATTCACGTCGCAATTTTGCCTCTATTAAAACAAGCTGCCATGATGTCCCTAATTATTTCAAAATAGGATTTTGTAACACAATATGTACTAGCGGAAATAAGATTACCTCCAAATGAGCAAAATAATTCCCACTTGCTTGCGGCTTGTCACGCTTAATAGAAGTAGATTAGAATTGTCATCCCACTTCTAAAAACGGCTGTCCATTCAAATAAGTAAAAATGTAGATTAATTTATTCGATTTAAAAATCAATAGATTAGAAGTATACTAAAATATAAATTATTCAGTTAGCTATCTTCGGTTTTTAAACTTATTTAGATGAACATGCTTTCCGTTAGTAACCCATCTGCACATAATCAGACAGTGTGGATGGATATCGAGAACTAAATGAAAAGGGCCTCTTGAGTCGTATCTGGCTATTGTTGCCGGTTGTCAAACTAGCGTATGAGTGCCCAGATAGTCAATTTTGTGCATTTTAATCACGGTTAACTTCTTTATTGTCTCGAGTTCTGTTGTGATCAAACAATCTGCTGACCTACAATTCGACGTCTATTCGTGTAGGTAAGAGAAAGATATTAGATTTTGAACCTCGCAGTCTGCCATTTTGCAGATCTTTTAAATGGATGAATCGAAGTGTCTTTTTATCAATTAGAACGAGTTTTTTGAAGATGTGAGATAACAAAGCCAACTACAAGCGCTTTCATTAAACCCGTTTCCGATTTTGTTTTTTACACCAAATCCTGCATTTATTATTGTTTAAGCTTTCCTTCGTTTCAGTAAAACAAACACCTCGGTAATGATGATGGATGTCCAATCTAATTCGAAATTGGTGTGCATGCAATCATGCCGTTTTCCTATGTAATTTTTTTGTAACCATTACAAAACTTGAAGTACAAGTTCGCATGAATTTGACCTCGCTAGTCTACGCTACCCCTCCCCCCCNCGCTACCCCCCCCCCCCCCCCACCCCACGCGATCATTGATGACCTTTCAAATTGTGCTTTATGTCCTTGACCTTGATTTTTCCAAATCTGCACGGTTGTATTTAACAGAAATTGTATATTGGAAACTTAAATTTAAGGTGATTGGTTTTTTCCTTCCCCCCTCCCCCCCCCTCCCCCCCTCCCCACCCTTACTCTATCTTGGTGGGCCTCTAATGGGTATACACTTTTTCCCAAAATTGATGCGCTTCTGAAATGAGGTAAAGGTGGTTTTTTGCTCCAAAAGAAAAGTGCAACAGACCTCTTTTTCCAGCTTTCCATTAATTGGAGGTTTATGTTCTTTGATATCTTTATCACAAGATTTCTTGCTCTGTAAAAATAAGTTCAATTGTTTAAGTTGTGACTAGCCCCACGGAGTAATTGGAGTAGGAGTTTTCTAGGATATAAGTATTAGTCTTTCGTGATCCATTGATTTTGCGTCCCACGATTTTTTAGCACATTTTCTCAGGTAGTATGGCTTTTTCAAAAATTTTTGGGGATTGTCTATTCAATGGCTTTGAAGTTCGCGAAATTGGGAAGGCGTTCCTTTTATCCTCTTCCTCTATGTAAATCTCAAGTGCCTGCATGTTCCTGATTCTTGTAACTTAAATTTGTTTATTTATTTACCCTGAGATCAGGCTTTTGCTGGAAAAGTCGCTTATTTGCGTCCGTGTTTAATTACTTTTCAGAGTCCTATACAGTCTCAAATTTTCTTCAAAGGGATCCCGCAGTGGTTATTATCCCTTAGCTTTCATTTCTCGTGTTACCACATGGGTTGGAGTTGGATGAGACTCTGAGTAGATGCATTTCAACTTATTTGTCTAAACGCTGGAATAGCTATCTCTAATTTTACCGAGCTATTTGCTAGTAATTGATGCAGTATTATCTGTCGCCATAACGACAACGAATTTTAGTAGTTAATAAAATTCACTCGCTTGCTGCCATTCCAAGCATGAGAGAGAGAGAGTATTTACTCAATCTTCCCCTTCCTCACTAAAGTAGGCATTAAAATTCTCCCTTCAGTCAGCGCGTGATTTTGTCCCTTACTATTATTACTACTCTTCATTAGAGAGCTTTTAATCTCCCTTTAGGCAGATTAGAGCTTAATGGGATAGGCTTAATTCGATTTTGACAAAAAATTAGACTTTTATGACTCAAGCTTTATGCAAGCCGATTTTCATGTCATTCATCTCATTTATTTAGAATAACTCTTCTTTATAACTTCTCTTTGAGTCGTTTGAGGTGATAGCGAAAATAAAAGGATGACTGCCTTCAATGAGCAATTCGAATCATTCCTACTATTATTGAGTCCTAAAGTTACCACTTTTTTTTCAATTTGTCCATAGTATGGTCGATACTGACTGCCAATCTTCTTCAATTCGGGCTTAGTTTATTACGGGACATTTGAGGAGAGTCTTGAATCTTTTCAACGGATCCTCTCACTCATGGAATTGAATTGTTGATCACTGCCTGTTGGCGGTGCCCCACATTTAAGCTCCCTATCTGTGGTGCTTTCGATATTTGAAGTTGTGGTAAGAGAACAGGCATTAGATTCTTAGCGTGTGCGAACTAAAATGCCATTGTCCGAAACCTCGATCATCACCTGCGTCTAAAGGTATTTTAGCTCTTCGTAGTTCTGCATGTTATTATTTTTTCTTATTCTTTAACATTCCCTTTAGTAGATCACTGTTTAAACGGTAGGCTTAATTCAATTTGGCCCATTTGGCTAACGATAAGTGCCAATTTGTTCACAAGTATACTTCCAAAGTTAAACAAAAATTTCACTTACCTATTTTTAGCGCAATCCCCTAATATATCAGTATTAGTAGACTGAATTTCAATGGGTGCTTGGGGGGAGAGATTCTAAATTCATGGTTAATATGCAATAACAATGTTGCTATTGTTTAAACCATGAGGAATGGTTTGAATTAAATATGCGCCCATCTCCCTCTTTCTATCCTAAAATGACTAGAACCACTCTTTCTACTTTTTAAGTCCTTAAAACCGTTGCGAATTATCTAAAACAGTCAGAAATTTTGTTTAATATCTCTCTTTTGTGTTGACCTTTTTAATTTGTGGATTAAAATTGCCATTGGAACCAACCGTTTAGTGATGTTTTACTTAAGTAAAGTCAAAAGACCAGAAGAAAATTGTAGCTTTCTTCGTTTTACAGACATCCATCGACTAAATCTCCTTCTGATTCCAAATTTTCTTTCAAATGGAAATAATTTGCTGTTTGAACACATCTGGCTAAGATGGAACTTTTCATCATTTAGAAGTTTGTTTAAGTAAAGTGGATCCAACTGCGAACAACAAATTAAACAAGCCTTCAATTTCACTTACATTTGTTTTCTTTCATCCTTTTACCCCAGTGACCACAATGAGTGTTGCTAATGCCTATCCCTCTCAATCTGTATTCAAAGTTCATTTTATGCTGCTTTTGCGAGTTGTTTGTATATATATATATATATGTTGGGGGTAATTTAGTTAATTTCGTTTATGGCGATTGTACATCAAATTTTGACCATTTTTTGGGTTTATCCAGTTATCTAGATAAGTATTATAAGTTTCTCTCAATCCGTTTCCTTGAAAGAGAAATCTGTAGCCGTAAAATAACCCCTAACGCAAACACTGTGAAACATTCATTTTTTTCTTCCAACATCTTAATATCGTTTTCAACTATTACAGGCACGAAAAGACCAAGAATTATGTATTCATCGAAAGAACAACAATCTTTCGAGTTGGAACAGCAACAGCATCAACAGCAGCAGCAAGGTGGCGAAGACGGCAATTGCATGGAAGCCGCCTCTCCTAATGACGAAAACAGTGGGGTGCGAGGTTCCCTTGGATCTCTAGGGGGTCCAAGAATGGCTGCTGGAGATATGATGTATGATGGACATGGTAGTCTATCTGGTGAGTTAGAGGTTCTTTAAATACCGTACATCATTTGGCTAATAATCTATATTGTCAATCAGTAATTTAAACATTTTGACGCACTGAATGATCCACTTTCTTAGAGAAATGATATGGAATCAATTCTTATTTTTTTATACAGTAATTACAATAATAATAAAAGCTATAAGTTGGTCTACAATTGCCATGGATTGCGCACGTCGCAATTTCGGGATACGAGAACGCTCAATAATTGAATAAATTATTGGCAAAGACTATACTTACCACTCTATTAGGTAATTGCTTCAATCATTAAATATTCGAGCATATTTGAATGCCTTGTATTTCTAATTTCCTGAAATTGACAACTTTTTCCAAAAAACCCTATTGCTATTGTACATATACGCTTATTTCATAATTGGGCAGGAATTTAAACGGTCGTTCCTCTCTCTAACCAAAAGTTCCCTATTTGCAGCATAGATACTGTGCATCTCCATTTTTCTATTTGTTGACCTGCTCCAATCTGGGGCTGTCGTGACTTTGGATAATTTGGTGCACTCACATGAATTTATTAGATCAAGTCACTTAAATCGCCTTCACGCTTGAGAAATTGTTCCAAAGCAATAATGTTAGGGGATATTAATGGATTGATTGGTTCATATCTAATTTAAAAATTTTGGAAAATATTGACTCAAGTAAACGTTTTTTCTCGAGATAACTACCTTGTTTTCTATCTTCCGTCCATGAAATATACGAAGCCATTTTTTTTACTAACCCATTTCCCTTGATGTTGGATAAGTACATTTGTATGGATCACAGTCAGTTAATTATTGTGGGAATAAATTAATTAAAAAGCATCTTATTCACGCAGAGGTTTCTATAATTACGTTACATCTCTTCACCGCTTACATATCTTTCAATTTCGAACTATTTGTAGTCTTTTGGGTTCCTCGTTAACGCTATACTAGGTGACCCATTAATTATTATAATTGAATTGGTTTTTCATGGTGTTTCCACAAGAACTCCCTGAGTTCATCAGGATTCAGCTTAGGGTTACAATTAGCTCCATCGTCACTTTTTGACCATTCGAACATTTATTTATATCAAATGACAGGCGTCTTGATGGTTATCATTAGCCCTTTAGTTGACTTCAGGCTTCACAGAGGGGGGGAGGAACATCAAATTGAAAAAAGTCGAGAGGGGGGAACAGAAGAGTGTTTCAATGACATATGAGACAAGCACAAAGGTAGAAAAATGGTGTAGTGAGTACTGTGGAAGTAGTCGAATATGGCAAACTACCATGGCAGTGAGAAGTCAACTGCCAGTTAATAGACTTTTTTGCAGTATGAGTATATGTTGCCCAGGGTGCACCGCGTGGAGGTAAGTCTATCGCACACTCCCCATTCGAACATAATTCCTATTAATTTGCTCCCTATTTGATTAATGCAATTCAACTGTGTTCTTTTTAAATTCCATGCAAACCCTAAAGTGCATTTTTTGCATGTCCATACATTGCAAGACGAATTTTCGAGAAATTGATGGAGAAGTGTAACATTTAGTTCAATCCGAACATTATGCTGATAAAAATTTATTAAAAATTCAAACCTCAGAGTAAAAACGGGAGCTACGAATGACGAATGTACAGTTTTTCTGCCATATTTAAATTTTTATCAAATTTCCATATTATGTTTATTTTTGCTTGCGTGATTGAGTAACATGGACCTTTTACAACCAAACTGTGATATAGGCAATATTTTAACCATAGAATAAATGGTTTAAATAACGGAAATAATCGCAAAATAATAATTTCCTTTGCCTTTGAAATACCGTTTTAAAATTTTTACAATGACATTAGTGTTACTCATGTCTCGACGAAAAACTTCTACAACAGGGGTTAGAAGTACAATAAAGCGTGAAACTAAGAGAGGTCAATTAGTAGTAATATGTTTAATAATAGTGCCAAAATTTACATTTCGTGCTTTAACGTCAAAGTGGCAAGACCAAGTTCATTACGTGGTAATAAGGGCCTATCGACTAGTTGAAATAAGTGATGATTCAGCTAAGCCATATTGATTAATTTGTTATTTTTCCACTGAGAATAATACACCAATACGTCTAGCAATAATTATTTTAATAACACAGATGTGAAAAGCGGGCGTTCTATTCGATAATATGTCTTGCAAAAGAAAGAACATGATTTTGACATTAAATTGAAAGCTGAAATAGTGTTTTCGTACTTACCCAATCAATAATGACTGATTCCATTTTTTTCCTTTAGCCGTCCCGGTGTCAACACTAACTGCTGCTCAAGCCGCAGCAGTTCAACAGCAGCAAGCCATGGCAGCTGCAGCCAATTATCGTTACATGACCCTTAATAGTCATCAGCAAATGGCTAACCATCCCCAAATGATTCCCACTGAATACGTCTACACTGGTGGTCCTGTGGGTAACCACGTCTTGAGCACTCAACCCGTTATTCAATCCCATGCGCAGCCATTAATCTACACCACCACCACCACAGCTAATTCTCAACATCAACAAATCCAACAACCCTATGACCGTTGTCCCGCTATATGTAGTTTGTTTGCTATCTTCTGCTGCCCAATTACATTCTGGTGTTCCCTTCCAGCCCTTGCTTATTCACTCTGTGCTTACACCGACTATAGAGCCAACGACATGCATGCCTATCGCAGTAAATCTGATGTTGCGAGAAGGTGTGTTATCATCGCGTGTATTATAGGCCTCATTCTCTGTATAATCTGGGCAATATTGACTTTCCTCTATTATGGAGAAATGCTGCTTCTACTAAGCGATTTGATCAAGACGGTGCAACGACATCTTTGGCCAAATAATTAATGGAAAAGATCCTTCCTCCATTAGCTCGCTCGAACTTCCCTTTCCATCTGTCCTCCTTCCTTTTTGTAATTCTCTCTTTCCAATCTGTCCCATTTCCACTCCTCTATCTCTGTCTCCTATCTATTCGTTGCTTGAAATATCGCCGTGGTTAGGTTGAGCACGCAAGCCTGGCGTCTAAGGCGGAGGAAATAAAATCTTTTATGATCACAAAAAGGGACGTTTTTTGGGCCTTGAGTAGTTTAGATTTTTAGAAAGACAGTGCACCGAGTAATTGGGGTGAGATGTCATCGTAATTAATTTTAGTGACTAATGCGTCTTCGAGGTGTTGACTCATCTTACTCGTGGGGGCTAGTGGTCTAAGTACTCGCGGGCGGCATTATCGCTAATCACACGTGTACCCGCATTTCTTTGTTTAGTACTTATTCGACTCGAGATTAGCTATCTAACTGGGGGGGGGGGGGGGGGGGGAGGAGGGAGTAGGCCTTAGGATGATTCAGCTTGGCATTTTCTTTTTTGTCTCGTAGAGAATTAAAATAGTAAATATGATCTCTACACCAATGGCGAATCTCGTAACAGGTCCGAGACAACGATGGCCATCTTCATTTTAGGCGATTTCGGTCAATAAATGGGCAACTCAAAATAGATTCCCTCTATGCAAATAATTGGTATTAACACCTTTGTAAGGTGAGATTAGGGCGTTGGACAGTAAACTACGCAGGTATAACAAGATGAGTGACGGGTGGTAGTGACAAAACTAAAATTCTAGTGAGTAGAGGTAAGATGATATTATAGAATTGTCCAAATGAGCAACCATCGACCCAACGAGCATAATGGATCTTTTGCATATTAGTTTTCTTTTCTCTATTACATAACTTAAGTTCCATCACTTGAATTCTTGTACATTGAACGCCTTTTTCCCGTGTTTTTTTTATTCTGCCCAGGCCGCTCACAAGGCGCACAATCGCCTCACTCGCTTCAAATAAATCCACGCTGTTGTGCATCCCTTTTTTAAAAATAATTAACTGCGCGCGTTCGGTTTGCTCATTCCACCGAGTAGAGGCGGTTTTTGGACAGGCTCTTGTCAAACGTTTTGAGCCCAGCTGCCAGAAGGCGAATCTACCCCCAGCTTGTCTTCATATCGCTAATCTGTGCATTTGCAGAAAACCGTTTATTACTTCCATAAACATGGATGAGGCAAGTCATTTTATCCCGACTCTGCACAAATTAGATGTTGAAAAGTTAAAAAATAAGTTTGCTCACTTGATCAGCAAAAGTACGATGTGGACAAGGAGATAAGTGCCAAGAAATACTATGCTACAAATGGGAAAAGATAAATTTTGAGAATTTCTAATATATAAAGTGAAGGTTGCTTTATTGATCGGAATTTCACTTTTTTTGCCAAGATATTATCGACAAAGCGTACTTGAGTGTAAACGTTCGACTCGATGTCGGTTTGAATGTTGTTGAGTTTCGAACTGCAATGCCTGCAGGCTTGCATTATCTTGGTAATCAGTTAATTCGCGAACTCAAATTTGTAAGATGAACTTTTGCAGCCATAGGACAGTGAGGTGATCAGGAACATAAGGAACTCTATTCCAAATGTTATCGAACATTGACACATCTATATTTGGAGAAGACGGGGGTAGGTTTATTCAGTTTGTACTGCTTTCTGATGCATTCTCCTAATGTATAAAATCGATCGATTGTAATCAAATTTTCTGAGACCAATACCTTATTCGTGACCATTTAGTTAAGATCAAAGTGCAATTCTTTTAATCAAATTGCATGAACACACACAATTGGATCAGTGATCAGCACCCAAATCATAATGGGGTCTACAATGATAACATTTTTGTTGTAATAGTAAACAGATGAAATTGCTCGGCAGTGAAGGAAATAAAAGGACGCTGATAAGCGTAGTTTGAGGTCAATGAATTCATGTCATGTTGGCCGATGAGCTATTCGCATCTATTTATTTATATCAAATGACAGGCGTTTTGATAGTTATCATTAGCCCTTTATTTGACTTCAGGCTTCACAGAGAGGAAGGAACATCAAAGTGGAAAAAGTCGAGATTGAGGGGGGGGGGGAGGAACAGAAGTGTCTTCACAGGTGTAAAAGAGACTGACATAAAGGTAGAGAAAATGGTAAGTGAGTACTGTGGAAGTAGTCGAATACAACATACAGTAGGATCATGGTAGTTTGAAGTCAGAAGTCAACTGCTGGTTAAAAGACTTTTTTGCCGTATGAGTATACGTTGCCCAGGGTGCATCACGTGAAAGTAAGTCTATCGCACACCCCCCTATTCACACCTATTAATTTGTCACAAATTAGTCGATGCCTCATCAGTATGTTGTTAAACCAAATAAAAGCCTTCAGACACTGTCTGGTGTTAACTACTATCACTTAGGCGTTGGATTGAGCCTCGGCTATCAGTTGTAATAAGCAACTTTTATGCTTACGCCTAATTGTTTTTTAAAATTAATCATTTTTTATTTCCAGCCTTCTCCCTAAAACTCCCATTCTTGCATCGTGGCTCGAGCCACATAACTGCATCATAAGAGAAATAAAATTTATCAGGGCATGCTTCGTATTGCATTCTTTACAAGGCCTCTTTGGTTTAGCACAAAACCTTACAGCATAATATTCAATAATTGAAACACTTCATTTAAAGAAAAATAAAAAACTCACCACATGATTTTGAACGGTATTTGTTACATTTACTAATTTTACTTAATTACACATATAGTCAAAGGCGTAATGGCAAGTTTAGTTGGGAGTATCCAGTCGGTACAAATGCATACAAATTATTAATTACGGTTGAACAGACGTTTCTTGTATTGATCTTACTATTTTTAGCTCTCCTTGGTAAGGCGTGGAAGAAAATGCTGCAATTGAAATAGAATTAACCTAATAGCATATATTCGCAATCTTCTACCACATATTGACAATTATTTGATTATGTCCATCGCGTTGAGTCGAGTAGTTGGCAGTTGCCAACTTAAATCGATGAGATCTAGGCTTTGGATGGACTTGAGCGTACTACCTTGCAGATAGGGAGAGGTGAGGTAATTAAATCGAAACAACTCAAGGACTTGAGCATAATCCTAAGTACTTTATTTATTCCCTTCCTACAACGTCTTGAGCTTCGTAAATGACATGAATCTAACAGTACATTTTTGTCTGGTCAATTTCATATTCATTACGTATCAGATGGTAAAAATGCTATTCATAACATTGATCTTAACAAACTAAAGGGACGAATATTTTTCATGACCGCTTTGTAGTACATTTCATTTGAGTTAAAATTTCCCATAAGCCTTTAAGCGTTATGTACATTACATGCCACTTCTGCGGGCAACGTATACTCATAAGGCAAAAAAGTTTGTAAACCTCCAGTTGACTTCAAGCTACCACGACCCGACTGTGTGTTTGCTTCGATTAATTTCGCAGTACTCACCTCACCTAACCTTTTCTTTACCTTTGTGTCTGTCTCTTTTACATCCGTGAATCACTCTACTGTTCCCCTCCCCTCCCCTTCCCGACTTTTTGGGGCTTTGATGTGCCTCCTCTTCATGAAGTCCGAAGTCAACTAAAGGGCTAATGCTAACTATTATAAGGCCTACCATTAGACATAAATAAAAACAATTATTATTTATACAGAAAGCCAGGTCAATTTCTCCCACTGTACACATCGCAGGTAATTTTAATGAGATACATAAATTTAATTATAAGCGAGAAATTGAAGAAATAACGAATATCAACATTTAGTGCACTAGGAAATATGTGTTAGAATGATTTCGACATTTTGTTGGCAATAAACTCCCTAAAAGAAGACTTGTCTGAGCATCGAAGGGACAATTCGAGAGAAATGATCCAACTGAGAGGTATTAGGGGGGGGGGG